CGGGTGACTTAAGATCCCCTCTCGAAAGAGGCGTAGGTTCGAACCCTACTGGTAGCAATTACTTTTTTGTCCAATCTTTTCGTTATTTTATAATTCTTTTTTATTTAAACTTTTACAATTAGCAATTTAAATTTGGTGAAAACAAAATAGGCCTATTAATTATAAAATAAAAATCTTAATTTATTATAATGCTGTAATATTATGTTTTTGCAATGCTAATAAAAACGTAAATATCAAAATTACTCATAACAATCTGACATATTTTAACAAATTTATATGCATACTCGTTAATTAAAGTGCAATAACTGCAGAAGCTTAAACAAATAATATTAGTTTTAGATTACTAAAATCTCAAAAAACTGTCATATAAACTTAAATATAAGCCATAAAGTTATTATTTTTTTATAAATTTGCACTAATGTTAAATTTCTATTAATAAATTTATTATACAGAAATAATGATTCTTTAATTATCTTCTAAGGTTTATCTATTATAGTAAGTAGTTTTAAAGATTTTTGTGATTATTTTAAATAATCACGATTATAATTATATGCATATTCTAATTAAATTTTATGACTCTCAAACTAATTGTTAATACAAATTATTTGGCTACACTCCGTATAGGTTGGTGGTACAGGCTGGGGAAGCTCGTATTTAGGCAAAGGCTCTGTAAGCTCGCTAGTCAATCTCTTTGCGCTATAATCATAGTCACTATCACCAGTGTAATAACCTACTCGTCTATCTAACCTCGAGCAAGTAATAACTAAGCTAAAAAGCATGAACATTAATACAATTGTTAAAAATCCAAATACTAGTAAATTTTGCATGTTTTGTAAATATTAATTAATCTTTATTATTAAGATGGTGTTATGGAGCTTGTATTTATATACTGTTGCCAAAAATAACTTGGGTTGCTTAAAAGGTAAATTAAAAATAATTTTTTAGTTTTATAACCAGTAATTAACAAATAAACTAATAAATTTTGTATATGCTTAATGGCAAACTAGCTTAGCATAAAATAAAATTTAATTAATGCAAACCATAAAAATCTTTTTATGCCAAGTAGAGTGATAGACATTTTTCATATAAATTATAACAAAAAAAATATCTTTGCCACTATTGTAAAGAGTGTTTAATATTCGCAGATATCATTACTCTTTCGATAATAGATAGATATTTGCTTAAATTAATTTCATTATAATTATTAGCATCAATAATTGAGTGAAAGTAGCGTGATATAAGTATACAAATCAGTACAAAAATATTTATTATTTAATTGAGGAGTATATTAAGTACCTCATTATGCAGCGGTTGATACAAACATATTCGAAAGTTAACTAGCTTTTTACTCAAAGAATTATATATATTAACCACAATAGTAATATTTGTTAAATTATTCTATGTGCTAAAATTCTAATCAATTAACATAAATTTAATACTATGCTCTTTAAAATAACTATTTGACGTCATGTTATTTGATTAATTGCCATGTACATTTGCAATATAAAAATTGAAATAATCCAAGTAACTCTGATAGAAATAAATATTATGAGACTATAAACTATGATATCTATAATATCATTCAAATAATTTCAATAGTTTAAAGATATTATTAATATTTATTGCCAAATTTATATTACTTATGATATATAATTGCTGTAAATGTTGTTATAATATGAAAAATAGAAATATAATAATGGAAAAATTATATAGTGATATATATAAATAAAGAGATGAAAAAAGAAAAATAAAGAAAAGAGTAAAAATTGAACTAAAATGATATAATAAAATATAAAAATAATAAATAATTATATATCAAATTTGAGTATATTTATCTAATAAGCTACTATGGCCGAGTGGTCTAAGGCGGGTGACTTAAGATCCCCTCTCGAAAGAGGCGTAGGTTCGAACCCTACTGGTAGCAATTACTTTTTGGCTTAATTATATCTCTATTCATATTTTTTAATTATATTTAGCTTAAGTTTAATGACTAATAATTAATTTATCTATGTATTTAAAAATTTTGTTATAATGCGCCAGTTTTTTATGCTAAATCACTATACTTTTTATTTAGCGGTTTTGTATATAAATATTCAGAAATTTTTCTTTGCTATTATTTATTTATATAGCTTTGCAAATAATTTTAAATTTACTAGTTATACTAATATTAGTATACTGATAATGGACTCCAGAAAATTGGTTTTATATTTCATTAATAATCCAGTTAAAGTAGCATAGTTAGTTGTAAAAATGAGTTGTAGTTTTTAGTATTATGTTAAATTTTCATGCTAAGTTTTAGCTATAATAAATAAAATTATACGATATTATATACAGTAAAGCGCTTTATATTATAGCTTAATATCAATGTTATTGTTAGGAATGGGTGAGAAATTCCATTTCAATTTTGAAGTATAATCAACAATTGAAAAGTATTATACATAGTAGAATAATAAATTATTAATAATGGGAATTAAGTGAATGTAAGTACAGAGAGCGTAAAAAATATAGAATATTGTTATTGAATGAGTAATGAATTGAAAAAAGATTATGGTAAATGAGTATATAAAAGTTAATGATATAGGAAAACAGTGTTATTGGAAGCAAAAAAATTAGCTATATTTTAAAAAAATTTCTAAAGTGCAAGCCCGGTTAGCTCAGTCGGTAGAGCATCAGACTTTTAATCTGAGGGTCGTGGGTTCGAGCCCCACATTGGGCGTTTCTTCATACTTTTTGCTAATATGTCTCTATTTTTACATATTTTGTTTTAGCAAATTATACCTCGATTAATTTATTTACTTAATATATATCTTCTAATCAGCTTTTTGTTCTTTTTTCAAAATCTTACACCGCTTAAACTTGATTAAATTGAACAATTTATCCGAATATTAGATTTTTTATATTTCAAATATACTAAATATAGAACATTCACTAGTGTAAAAAATATTAATAATAGAATATTAAAATGCAAGGAGTTATCATTATGAAAATTAATAATATTATCTAATAATTAAGTAATTTGGAGCTAAAATTCATATGACTTAAAACAATCATGCTTACAGATCCATATAAATACCCTCCCTTCATCAAAACTAAACTTTTTTCACAAAAAAAACAATGTCATACATACCAGGGACCAGTATATCCGATCTAGTATTAATATCCCTTAGCGTTGTAGTTGTTGCTATCGTTGGTTTGTTGAGTTTAAATTGGTATAAAAATAAGAAGCTGAGGAGGATTGTAAGAGAGAATAGAGAGGCTGAGGGGAATTTACATGATTTGAATTTAGAGTTTTTGGATCCTTTACCAGTTTATGAAGCGCCACCGGATTATTGTGCAGAAAGTTCACAGGAAAGTAGGAGGAATGGTGATGGTGATCGCGAAGGAGTTGCAAATGAAACAGAAAGGATCGAAGTTAGAGTTATTAATTAGTATACAATAAAAATATATGTGATTATTTATTAGCAATATAAATGTTTAAATTTTAATATGAGATACAATATATTATATATTATATATTATATATTATGTGATTAATTTCAAATTATAATGAAATATACCAAAAATATTAATGTAAAATGAAAAATTAATTAAATTAGTCAATTGATTGACTAATATAAAAGCTATCATATCTATTAACGCTTACAGTATCTTTTTGATAAAAACAGTTGAACTCTGCTAAAGTTTAAATTAATTTTTAATAAAATTCTTTCAGTTAATATACCAGTTATATATACCTTGCATAAGTGTGATAATTATCCAAAAAAGTAAAATATTAGTTAATAGATCAATGAAAAATATAAAAAATTGATTAATTTATTATATAGTTATGATTAGAATGTTAACAATTAAATGATAAACTCAATGTTCTGTAGTTAAATTAAATATCAATTGATTAAAAAAGCTAGTCAATTAATGGAGCTTGATTTACATTAAACCGTTTGTATATAGCAGTGGTTAACTTGCCTATATTATCCATTGCATCAAATTACACCCGTTTTTCGTTATAAGAAAAATGCTGTCATCATGAATCGGAGCCTATTATCCAATAGATTTTGAGTAAAAGCACATTTTAAGGAGCATATTACTTAGTTTTGGCGAAATTCAAGATTACAACATTTTTCTTATAACAAAAAATGGGTGTATTTCTTTCTGAATAATTATTGACTTTGAATAATGGTGATGTAATAAATTCAAGTAAAATACCTAATTATCGATAAAAGTTCTGATAACTGCGATTATTAAATGCTCAATACAGAGCCCAGATTTTACTTTTACTTGGCAGAAAATTTATTGGCAAAAATGTCTAACACTCCTCGGTATAAAAGTTTTTTCAGATATGCATTAAATTTTAAAAATGCTAATTTATTTTACCATTAAGAAAAATTAGAACAGTTATCAGTTGATATTAAGTTTATCTATACAATATAAAGCTCAGAAACTGTTATTAAATTGCTTTATTAAGTAATTCAAACTAAAATCAAAGTATAAATACAAACTCAATACCAATAACAAAAATAAATTAGTTAATATATACAAAAAAGATGTCGGAATTACTAGCATTAATATTTTTAATACTTATTATAATATTTATACTGGGCGGTATAGCCTTAACTTACTCAAGGATGGGTAAGTGGATGGATTATAACACTAACGACAACGATGCCATCCGCGGAAATGATAATTATAATGACTATACTGTACTGAGATTGAGTAGGGAGTTTACAGAGCCTTTGCCACGATATCAGCGTACTTCATCTTTGCCACCAAATTATACTGAGTGTAGTCAAATCATTTGTAATAGTGATTAGCGCTGAGAAGATATTAACTTAATTCATAATACCATATAATGTAAAATAACCGCAAAATTTTGAAAATTAAACAGAATATTTGAAAGTAATATACATAATAAAATTACTAATTTGGCAGCATTTTAGGATGAGTGGGAATGGAGATTAATAAAGGTAGTTGATAGAAATAGGAAGCTATTAGCAAAAAAGAAATGCTACCAGTAGGGTTCGAACCTACGCCTCTTTCGAGAGGGGATCTTAAGTCACCCGCCTTAGACCACTCGGCCATAGTAGCTTGTTAGTTAACTTGATTCAAATTTAATAGTTCTCATAATAAACAAATAAGTCAAACATAATAACAAATAAAATTTTTTATTGACTTTGACAAATAAATTTGTTTTATTTATTTATTTTTTTTATTTTTATTATTATTATTATTATTTCTAATATACCAGTCTTTTTTCATTTAAAATTTATATACTATTCCTTTCGCTCTTTTCTTTATTCTCTAATTATCTTTATTATATTGCTTTTTTAGAATTCTTTTACCCAAAAACATTTTTTATTTATTTATTTTACTTTATGCCAGAAGATTTTAAAATAAACAAAAACTTATACTGTAGCGGTCATTATGCCGATTTTAACGTATGGTTTGAGTTATTAAATTAGATATAAAAACTTGATAAAATGAATTTTAAATTACAGTGCACAGCATTATAAACTGATTTTTTTAATTTGGACAATTATTGGACTAGAGAAAGTGAGAATAGTTAATTAAATGTTATTTAAACTATATATTTATTATGCAAAAGAGTAGCACTTATTCTGCTATGCATGCACGTGTTATATCCGAAATTAGTTTAAAGATAAGCTAAAATTAGCATAAATAATAACTTCGACGTAAAGTGAGTTTAATAATATTATAATGGTTATTAAATAAGAGTTAGATAATCTAGACTATAAACACTTGATACGATACCAAATTGTTTTTATTTGGAAGTGTTAAAAATAATTTTTGAGTTTATTGACAAACTGTCTAACATTAACTTTCGGAATATTGGTTTTTTAATAATTTGCATAAATTTTTTTATTATTTATAAAAACAAAAACAAAATTATAGTTATTATTTATTATAAAGCATGCAATAAAACTAATAAATATGTTTAACTTTATTAGTAACTCATATTATTCCAATAATAATAGTATAAATACAAATATCATAGCAGTAAAACTAGATAATTGATTAATATCTACAACACTATGATAGAGTTGTTAGCACTTGTATTTTTAATATTTATATTAGTATTAGTACTAATTTATTTAGCTTTTACTTACTGGAAGCTAGACAAATCTATTGCCTATTACCTTAATACAGAAGATGATTATGGCTATAATGAGAGGATATTGAGTAGAGAGTTTACAGAGCCTTTGCCTAGATATGAACCTTCACGGTACTTACCGCCAAGTTATACAGAGTGTAGTCAAATTGTTTGCAGTAGTAGTTAATTATAGAGTTATATAATCTAATAATAATATTTATATAATTTAAATCATGTATTTTATAAAATAAAACATAAGATTAACCGAAACTTTTAAAAGTTTATTTTTTAAAAGATAAATAATTCCTATTCTGCGTCCCTAGTGGCTGTTTCTATGTAATGCAACGTTCAAAAAATTAAAAATCAGCTTATTAGTTTGCATATTGCACATATAGACAGTATATATCGATTAAATGATATATTAACCTACAAATTTCATGGGTTTAATTTAGTTTATAACAATAGAATATTATAGATAAAGTTTATAAAATATATAAGAAAATATTAACTATCTAAATAGTTTTTCTTAATAGAATGGCCTATTCATGGAATGAGTTAGTGGAGCACTGTTCTTTTGCATAGTGAATATTATTAATGTGGAGTTAACTATTAACTACTAAATTTATATGGATAGTTTTTATGCTTTTTAATTTGTATTTTAGACATGTTTTTGTGTTGAATAATAGATGATAAGATAAAAAAATTTGAACTATAAAAGCCAATATATAATAATTTATATATACTAATGAGAGAGTTTTTGCAAAATTAGATCAAAATAATAAAAAAAATGATTTTTTTAATAAAATGACATATTAATTCCAATTAACCTGAAGAAATATTATTCAAAAATAATATGAAAGATTCTGGTTAAAGCAAGGAAAATTTGTCCAAAATTTTTTTAGGGCAAGTTTAAATTTTTTCTATTTTTATAATTTATATTGTATTAAATAATATCTTTTTTTAGATATTATTGGTAATATAGTATTTTAGTGTATTATTACTAAGTTTTCTCTTTTAAATAATGGATATATAAGATAATAACTAGCTTATTTTAAAATTAAAAATTTGAACTGAGCTCACGCAAATTTAAGTCAAGTTAACCAGAACCTCTCATATTAATTTTTTTCTTCACGAGTATTAAATTATCAATGCTACTAGTTATATTTGGTAATGTATAGATATGGTATTATAAGATTATCCGCTTTAATTAAAATTTTGAATATTAACAATGCTTTTATATTAATAATAGCCACATATCGCTAGCTTTTACCCTATAATTAATCGTTTAACTTTTATCTGCTTATTCATATACAAGTTAGTTTTGGCAAAAATATGTAGATTTTAATTATTTAATTTATGCCAAGTTAATATTCCAATTTAGTCAATTAAAGTACTTATTATTTCTATGTTACTAATGTAGTATTTCCTCAATAATTTATTTTAAACAACAAACAAAATAACATTACTAATTGGCTTTTAAAAGTAATTTGAATTAATAAATTTTAAAGAGTATAAATACAAGCTCTATATCAACAATAAAAAATAAAAATAAAAATAAAAATACATATAATAATTAATATACATATAAATGATAGATTTTATAATATTAGGAGTTTTTTTACTTATAGTATTCATTATAATCATCGTTTTAGCATTTAGCTACTCGAAGTTTGATAAATGGTTTGGTGGTTATCTTGATGATGAAGATGGTTATGGGTATAACGAGAGGAGATTGAGTAGAGAGTTTATAGAGCCTTTGCCTAGATATGAGCCTCCCCGGCCTTCGCCGCCGAATTATACGGAGTGTAGTCAAATAGTTTTCAGATAGCAAGTCGAGAATATTTCTGTTAGTTTTTTGTATAAATGA